TTGAGTGTTAATTTGTAATATGGACTAGAATTTTAATTGAGCTACATTTGCATCTGTTGAAAACATGGTAATTAGGTATGCCTTAATTGCAGAATGACTGTGCTGCATTAAAGAGAAATAAGCATGCTATACCTTGTTTAAAAAAAGAAACTTGAAAGGATCTGTCTTAGAGTTAATCACATGGCAAAGGAACTGATGGTTCAGTGCACAGAACAGACTTAGCTGGCAAAAATGTTGTCAAAAATAAAATTTTTATTTGTTTAGAAGGAGATAATTATCTTTCTTTGTGCAAGCTATCTCCAAAAGGAAAGCAAATAATCTATAAAGACGTGCAAAACTAAAGAGAAAAAAATCATGAAAATTTATATAGCACTTAAAATAGTACATTATCTAAATGCAGCTTTATGATTAGTTCTTGCATTGTAATTTATTGTGTGAACACAATAGATCAAGCCATTGACTGCTGATATATTATTAGCATTTTTCTTACCTGAAAAATTGTTCATGTGAATATTTTGTGTTTTCTTAGTTTAAAGGAATAAAAATATTGTATGTACCTAATTATAAAACCAATGTTAAATGTACAGATCGGTTTTAAAACTTAAAATCAGACTGTTATATTAGTGACTTTGAAAATGTCTAGTTTTTTCCAAAAATTAACATGTATAACCAATTCTTTTGAGTTTTTGAAAAGCACAATAGTTCTTCATGGGGCAGGGAAGAGGGAAGTATTCTCATTTTTCTCTATCAAACAATTTCAGAGTTTGCAGCATATATAATGTGATACTCTAAAAGAACATCTTATGTTTGTACATATGAAGCTACATATTGCTAAATATTTTTAATTAGTTGGCATTCAAAGGCATTAGTGAAATCAGTACACCCCTAGAAGAATTTTTGTGATAATGTATTATCTAAATTAGAATGATCAGAGCAAGTATAAATAATTTCCAAACATGCAAGTATTGATTTTCAGCAGTCCACTTGCTTAGGGCAGGAAAGTGAGGTAGGAGTTCTGATTTTATAAAATAAGTTATTGAAATCTAAAGCTAATACATGATTTAATACTAACTGCATTTCACCAAATTTAGAAAATAAGTGGCATTCCATACACCAGAAGATTATTGTGAAATGAAAAGAATTGGCAGCAAATATGACTTCAGCATATAGTGAGTTGTGAAGGCAGTGCCTTTATTCTGTTACTGAGCCAAGAGCAGACATATGCCCCTTGAACTTCTGCCAAAACTATTAGGCAGAAAATGAACAGAATCGCTACTGATACTTCCATTCATGATTTATGATAATGGTTGCTGTGGAAGACTAAATCATTTACATTTATTGAGCTCTTTTTTTGTTTATAGTATCAAACATTGTCGAGCGTCATAAAATCTATTAGATGGTACATATACCGCTAACAACAATAGCATAAAAATATACCAGAAACCAATTAGAGCTAAACAGAGTCCAATGGGCATTCCTTGTATAACTGTGGTGGCTCCTACCTAGGCTGGTCAGCTTTATTAGAGGAGAGTAGGCATTTTTTCGGAAGATACAAGAATAGTTGTACCCAGAAATTGGATAAAAGTTTGGTTGGGATAGACTCATGTGTCAGTTTTTACCAGGTTTTATTACTGTCATTCATTTATCCAGCGATTTATGAGTAGCTGCGTTTGCTTGGCCATCCTCATTTTAGGAGCTTAGAGAGTGGGAGAGAGACGGATATGAGATAAATGAGAAATGCAATAATAAAAGTGTGCACAAAGAGCTACAAAAGTGTAGGTGGAAGGAGGCTTCCAAGCAGGAATTGTAGAAAATTCTCCACATCCATTTCTCCAGCTTGAGTATACCAACAGACCTAGCTTTGACAGCTCCCCCCAACTTTGAGAATTGTTTTATAATGATTTGGTCAATTATAACAAATTTGAGACCACACCCATTTCTCAGAGGGTTGATGTAGTGGTTTACAAGTAGATAAGACACAGCACTAGATACTAGGGCACTAGGCAAGATACTGCAACCCTGCTTAAGCTATATTTACATTTTTTTTTGAAGAGCTTTCATTTGAAAAGACTATGCATAATTAGCAAGCGTTTGGGCCAGTTGCCAACATATTCTTTCCCTGCTCTGTGTGCACCACAAAAAATTATAGCTGTAACTCAGCATTATTTGTAAGGCTATGGATTTTCACTAACTATGTCCATGTGAAAGTTGTAACTGCCTTCCTCTAACAAACCTGCATAATTACTGTTTTTTATTAGTTGATACACAAAGAAACAAATTTTCTAAAAGCCACCACCTCTTTGGAGGAAGAGGATGACTTGCAATTAGAAAATGCCTAGTACAGAAAGAGGCCATCCTTTCTAAAACCATTAATGTGGTTGCTAGCCAGTCATGGAGTTCCCTGTGCACATCTGATCTGACTTCTTGAGTGAGGTCATCAGTGTAAGCCAGGAGTCACAGCATGAAATGACCACACAGCATTGACAGTCAGTTTCTGAAATGCAATGCTGACTGCTGGAATTGTCTCCTGGGCAACTGTGCTTAGTGACTAGATGATAGATTACTCAAATATGTGCTGTATGAAGCGTGGAATTGAGCAATCACAGAGTTGATCAAAGAAGTACATAAAGGTCTTGTTGAAGTACAACGGTACCATGAGTAGGAAGGGCCCCAGACTGTGAGGGTGCTGGTCCCAAACCATTTTGTTCCCTGAGCAGGAAGCCGAAGTTGATCTAGATGACCTCCACAGTCCCTTTCGGGTGTAGCTGCAGTAATGTTTTTATTCTTTGCACCATGGCATAGCCTGCTGGGTGGGAAATATATATGCTCATTTTTTTAACTAAGTGTGTTAAGAAAAATAATTCTGGCTTTTATTTTTCATATCATGCTGAATAGCTAGCTTTTTAAACAAAAACCAAAACTGTACAACTTGGACATGGCTGGGTCATTATTTGATAGTCCCTGCTCAGATTCGTGTGGGTTTAGTAGCAGAAAATTTAGACATTGGGATTGTTTCAGCTGGTCTTATCACACCTTTGTTATTGTGTGTTGCTCAACCAAGTGCCCCTTGCTTATGGAGGAACAAGACTGAATTTTACTTGAAGTTATATTAACTTGATTTGGAGGTCAGTTCTTTGCAAAAGTTTGGAAAGAGGCCTAACTTCTATTTGGTTCTGTGTTGCAAGAAGCTCAAAAACATTAATCCCTATCTGGGCTCAGTGGCTCAGCCTGTAATCCCGCGCCTTGGGAGGCTGAAGTGAGTGAACTGCCTGAGCCCATGGGTGCGAGACTCGCCTGGGCAACTTGGTGCGACCTCATCTCTACAATAAATCAAAAAATTAGTCGGGCATGGTAGCGCGCACCTGTAGTTCCAGCTACTTGGAAGGGTGAGGCGGAAGGATCGCTGGAGCCCAGCAGGTCGAGGCTGCAGTGGAAGGGAGCGGCCTCTGCACTCCAGTCTGGGAGACAGAGTGAGACTCCAACTCAAAAAAAAAAAAAACAAATTGATCCCTACTTTGTTGATGCAGGAAAAAAGAAAAAAAAACAGGCCAGAGTGAGACTCCAACTCAAAAAAAAAAAATTGATCCCTACTTTGTTGATGCAGGAAAAAAGAAAAAAAAAGGCCTCAGAATTCAAGGAGTAACCTGAAACCCCTCTAATTCTTATTGTATCTGGAAGGCAGCTAGCTTTAGGCAACCAATCTCAGAAAAGATTCCTGAGAATGCCAGTTAACCTGTACATTTATGCTTCTTACTTAATGGAGAAATTCTTAAAGTTCTTTTGCTAGGTGGAAGCCTACTTTAGCTACTTGTCATTCTTTCAGATGCAAAACGTTTGGGGTATTAAAGTGCCCTTGGCCCAGGTGCTTACTAACTCGAGAATGGGGCATTGCTATCATGAAGTAGATCTTTTATCTGTAAAGTCCAGAGAAGTGAGGTTATCGATTTACTCCTTCTCGTGGCTCCAACCACCTCTGTTCAACTGCCATCGTGCAGATGGGCATACAAAATTTTTTCGGATTAGAACATAAAATAGTATTTACTTCTAATGTTGACCTTTTGCAAAGAAAAGTCACGGAGGCTGTGAAAAAAATCCGCTCTTCTGTGAGCAGAAATAATAAATGGATGCATTTGGGAGCCTGAGGAAAGAAGTCCTTGGGCTGACACTGGTGTGCTGACCAGTGAGTGATGTAGTTTAACAGAATTAATGAGGGATCAGAGTATATCTCCATTATCCTTACCAGGAAGAAAAGAAGCACTTGGAGAAGGGCTATTTGTTTTCTTTCTTTTCATTTTGCAAATAGAGTATGCAGGACCCTCGGAGGTCTGTACTGTATCCCAAGATCATGCCGAATCCCCTGCAGTCCTCAGTCTATTGCTGGGGGGTATTCCTGTGAGTAGTCAGTATGTAGACAGGAAGCTGCTTCTCTCTTCCTGCTACCTGGCATGCCATCTTCACAGAGGAATTCACATGTGTGTGACATATGTCACATATTCCACCTCTAATTCCACTCAAAGTTAAACAGCATTGCAGTCCATGTTCCTAGCAGGGCCATACTGCAGTATTAATGTGAGAAAGTGGTTGGGTAAGGTAGCTTACACCTGGGATCTCAGCACTTTTGAAAGACTGAGGCAGGAGATTCTCTTGAGGCCAAGAGTTTGAGACCAGCTTGGGCAACATATTGAGACCCTGTCTCTACAAAAAAACAAAACAATTACCCAGGGGTGGTGGTGTGTACCTAGAGGCCCAGCTACTCGGGAGGCTGAGGCAGGAAGATCACTTGAGCCCAGGGGTTCAAGGCTGCAGTGAGCTATTTTCGTACCACTGCACTCCAGCCTGGGCCACAGAGTGAGACCCTATCTCTGAAAAATAAAAATAAATAACAATAAAAAAATTATAAAAATGGGAGAAAGTCAAGTCCTTGCATGTATTTTAGCTTCCTTATTTTTGATGCTTTGTTTCACTATGTGTGTGTGTGTGTTTTTTTTTTCCCTACCAAGTGGAAGAAGACACAGAAGAAAGTTCAAGATCAGGAAGAGAGTCTGTGTCTACAGCCAGTGATCTCCCTTCCCAATCTCTGGAGAGACAAATGAACGGAAACCAAGAGAAAGTTGACAAGACAGATAGGAAAAAGGATAAAACTGGAAAAGAAAAGAAGAAAGATAGAGATAAAGAAAAGGATAAAATGAAAGCCAAGAAGGGAATGCTGAAGGGCCTGGGAGACATGTTCAGGTAAGTCTTTACCCACTCAAACCAGAGCCTCCTGGACATACATGAGTGTGAGGTGAACAAACAGTTACTAAAACAAGGTGGGGTGGCTCACACCTGCAATTCCAGCTACTGAGGAGGCTGAAGCGGGAGGATCACTTTAGCCTAGGAGTTTGAATCCAGCTTGGACAACATAACGAAATCCTGTCTCTAAATAAAAGAAAGAAATTTTTTTTTTAATTAATTAGCTACTTATACTGTATTTTTACTTTCTTAAAAATTTCACTTTACATATTTCAGACCATTTTAGCAGCCTTAAACATAATATCTTGACAACCATGTAAATGACTGTTGAGAGGAAGGAGGGACTTGTCTATGTCTTAGTTATGCTTGAGAGTAAAAGCCCCATTGAGACAAAGGGCTATTAAAGCAGTGTTTGTTCTTTTTTGTGTGTGGAACAATGGTTCATTATTTAAATTTAGTATAGAGCTCAAGTTAGTGATAGCATTTAAAGGTTCATTAATAACAAGTCTAATAAAAAATATTACAAATAGAGCTTCAATTAAGCTGTGTTGATTAATTTAATACTTATTACTTCAGTCTGTAAAGATTTCATTACGTGTAGTCTCTGGCTGTTTCTTGACAGTTGTTTTTGTGTCCCTAAATTATGCTCTAGGATTACTTAGCATATCATTTTTTGCAAATCATTGCCATATAATAAAAGTGACAAGTTATTCAGAAGTTGCACCGAAACTCTCCCATAAATGTTCATGCAAGGTGATTTATAATATTCAGGCATTTAAATATAAAGTTGGCTTGATTGTTCCATAAATTAAACCCTTAAACATATCAAGATGATGGTTGAAAATTGAAAACATACAGCACAGCCACTTGACGTCTCAAAAAGTAGTTCACCCGCATTATGAATCCCTTCCTTTTTACTTTTTTTAATTGCAAAATGCGAACAAGAGTTTTCATTTTCATGGAATTTCTTGATTTATGATCCCAAGGTTGACCTCAATAACTCTGGGAGTTACAGATAAGTCAGGCCTGGAGAGTGGGCATCATGGCCCCGCCCGAGGGGAACCCAACAGATGTGCTCTGTAGACATCTGAGGAAGTTAAGTGGTGAAGGAGAGCACCTGTATACTTACAGTCACACAGACCCTGGCCTATTTGTAGTAGTTTCTTTAATTTAAAGACAATTGGAATTCTGTCCTCCAGGGCTTCAGAACATTGGGATTTTCATAGCTTTTCGTTAGAGTTTTTCTGGTTCATGTACTACTCCTTCTGAATGCATTTTCCGTCCGGTCATCTTTCTTCATTATATTCCATGTCCAGGAAGTTTCCAGGATGAAATTGCTTTAACTGCCACTTTATTTCAGTTTCTGTGTTAGCCAGAGGGCTTTTCATTCCATGTCTGTTAACTGACAGCCTGTAAGCTGGCACCTACATAATGCACAGAAATAAGGCTGCTGCCCATCAATTAAAATGTAAGGAATTTGTACTACTGTCTTTAAATTAGAGAATAAGAGTTGTTAGGAGCCTCTCCTGAGACTCCAGCGCTCTTGTTTCTAGGGGCTCTTCTGATGTTTTACTGAACGCTAATGGCTTGTTAGTTTTCATTCATGTGCCAACATTTCTCTGATAGATACAGTACTCTGTTCTTGTCATGCAATTAAAAACGAACCAACTTCCAGTATCTTGGAGCTACATTAATTATAAATGATCCTTTTCTGTCACTTGAAACTGTAGAATTCAGGAGGGGTCTATGGTAGAATTTTCCATTTAGGACCAGAAAAGTGGAGAGTGTTGGGGAAAAGTTTCCAAGGGACCCTGAAGAAAACATAGTACAACTCTCTTTCTGCTAAAAGTCCTGTCAAGCCCTATGTGGTGTTTTCACTAGATCTAAATCTACAGAGTGTATATATAACCTGTTAGGAAAACCAGTTTTGTCATAAAGAAGCTGACCTTGCATAGCCTTGAAAATTAGCTTCTATGTTCAGGTGAAGGGGCTGAAGGTTTTTTTTTTCTTTCTAAAAACCAGTCTAATGTTTTCCCAGTGTATAAGAATGGCTGGTAAGAAAATCATGGACAGCCACACTTTCCTGTCTGTGTGGAATCAGTGGTCTATTGGAGTCAGGCTATGTTGGCTCGGGAGAGCTCACCAATTTTTAGCAGTTTTGCAAACTGGTTGTTAAACTCAGCCATTGTTAAACGTTAAGTAAATGATCTAAAAATTAAAGGTAATTAATCTTCAAAATTTATCACTTTCTAATTATTTTTACTACATTGATATGATCTTTGCTTTTGAGATTATTTACACCTGGTACATGGGCCTGCTGCTAATACTATATACTGCTGGCTGCTACACAGCTCTCCCCGGCTCCGTGTTCAGTGATCAGGAATGGTGGGAGTATTTACTCCAAGGAAGTCTATGAATTTCATAAGCAGAACTTTTGTCCCAGGAGAAAACATGCCACCACATGAAGAATGTAATTGTATTCTTGAGCAGAGTTGAGACATCTTGTATAGAATCCTTGGATTTGGCTGGATTCTATCTGATTACGAACCACTGCTTCAGCCCTTTGGGAAAGGGTCAAAGCTCACCAAATAACTGCTCCTTGAAAATGAGTTGACAGCTGGGCTCAGTGGCTCAGCCTGTAATCCCAGCACTTTGGGAGGCCAAAGTGAGAGGATTGCCTGAGTCCACAGGTTCAAGACCCACCCAGGAAACTTGTCGAGATCTTGTCTCTACGATAAATCAAAAATTAGCCGGGCGTGGTAGCGTGCGCCTATAGTTCCGGCTACTTGGAAGACTGAGGCAGAAGGCTTGCCAGTGCCCAGCAGGTTAGGCTGTGGTGGCTAGGAGTGTGCCACTGCACTCCAGTCTGGGCGACAGAGTGAGACTCCAACTCAAAAAAAAAAAGGAAAATGAGTTGACAATAATCTAGTAAACATAAAATAAGCTTATTGTTTTATTGAATGTTTGCTCTTGATCCTTCCTTCATACCATTATTAAACGCCATTAGTGTTTGAGAAAAGTCTTTAAAGCATTGTTAGAATTTTCAAAACTTTCTTCCATACCTACTGGATCTGATTATTTGAGACGCATATACCCTCAGGTTGATTCTTGTATGTTTTCTTTCTTTCTTTCTTTTTTTAAAACAACATAGGAGGCTATAGTATGATTTTTTATTTAGTCTCTTCCTTTCTCTTTGTTCTTTTAAGGAGATTAGGGTATGATTTCCTTAGCAGTGTTGCTTTTAAATAGCTTAATCAAAATGTGTGTATGCATACACATGTTTCACTCGTTTGTAAGAAGGCTCAAGTATGTCGACTAGTGCAGGCTTGAGGTACAAAGCAGGGATGTCTTTGTGTGTCATGCACCTGTGTCTGTGCTGTGGTTCAGAAAACAAAGACTGAAAGTCAGGGACAGTAGATATCAGGGTCTCTAGCTGTCTAGGTAAATGCAGCATAGGACCTGCATAAGAATATGAGCTTTTTCTCTTTAGTCTGCTTGAGGAAGTAATGTGTTTTCTTTTAAAAACAGGCTCACAGCCCCCCACCCCCCGCCATCCTGTTATCCACCTCCCACACATCCGTTCCCCTGCCTCCCCACCCCCGTCCTCCGCCAACCCCCCCTCACCAACCCCATTCATACACCATTTCTACCTCAGCAGGTTGTCTATGATTTTTGGTTAAATATAAGGGTCAAAGAGATGGACCCTACTTTTAAAACCACCAGAGGGAATGATGATACCTTGAATAGGTATTTTTAGTCATTGGCATATACAGATTTTCTACTTCACACATTGAATGGTAGTCACAAAAATGATTTAATTATTGATAAAGAGCTCTAGGAAAGAATGTTGTGAGTCGTATGAATCACTCTTCTGTTTATAAATTATGGAGAATATGAAGTACAAAATCTGTCTTACTGCAAGTTTTAAATCACAAATTTAAACCTATAAGGAATCAAATAACAAATGCAAAGTGTTTCGTACTTGTATTAATTTCTCCTTGTTCATACTACATCTTCTTTTGCACATAAGGAGCTCCTGTTGCCTTAATTAAAATGGCTTTGTATCTAAGAAACCTGAATGTGCTTACAAAACAGGGAAACATGACTTGGGAATGCAGTCATTCTGTGTGCAGAGCAAAGGGCTGGAAACATTGAGTCTTAGTATATGTTTGATTCTCAGACACTTGACTATTCAAATTTAATGCCATAAGATATTTCTGAGAATTCTGCAATTATATGATATTGTCACTAAAGAGGGAACAGAGTATGTACTTTAGAAGGAGGGAGATCTGTTGTTTAATGTTTTAAATGTTTGTTTCTAACGGAAAGCAATGGAATTCTTAAGCAACATGTTTTTGCCTTCGTTTCCATCTCCAAATTGAAATAACCAGCCCAATAATAAAATTCTGTCATCCCACATATTAAAAATTGAAAATTATGTGTTCCTTTTTTTTTCCAGTCCTGGAGTAGGTGCATTTTGGTATGGCTTTGCTACAAAATTGGAACTGTTATTGTTTGAACATCTTACAATTGTATGTACCCTTAGCTGATGGTTCTTAGAAGTGACCTTATGTACTTGTCTCCGATGTATTTCTAGCTGTTGTCCACATGTGATAATTGAGAACCTATTGCTGTGGAGAGCTAGAGCAAAAGGAATGTTGCAGTATAAGCATTAAAACGGAATCCTCCACTTGGCTTTAAAATGATTACCTGGGTCCCAGAAACATTGTTTTATTCAGATCTGTAAGAGGAGATAGATAATTTGGTTTGAAACCTTGTTTGGTTGAAATCAGATACACTGCTCTCTTTTCCTTTTTGGAATATAATAGTCTTCAGAATACATTGAGCAAGACCAGACTGTAAAACTTAATGTTGTAGTTGGAATGATGTGTCTTAAGCTCTTGAGAGAATAACAAACACAAGTTATTGCTGCTTCCCTTCCCTGCATCTACTAACTGTGTGTCTGTCCCGTGTCTCTCATTTAGCCTTGCCAAACTGAA